TAAACTCTATTTCGGGCGGGCCCTTTACACTGATATCGGTAGCTAGAACATTATGGTCACTCCCCAGATCAACGTGCATTTTGTGCTAAGTAGCAGATACAACATTTGTAACAAAGGTAAGATCTGGCGTGGTGCTCCTCGTGCAAGAGTTACCCATCCTGGTCAGAAATGCTGGGTGCGTGGCCAGGATGAGGTTCAAGTTTGCCGCTGCATGCGACAAATCCTAACCTCTACAGGATGACCGCGGATATCCGCACGTTGAAATCCGCACGGTCATATCCGCACGTTGAAAGGAGTGTTGAAATCAACCGCAACCACAAGCGGGAGATACCGTCTCTGGCGGCAGCTCTACTCAAGAGCGCCGAAAACCTTTGTCTCGAGTCATTTGGTGAACAATAAATATGAAGGATGAAAACAGTACTGTTCATATGACCCCCCGAAATAATTTTGACCAATGAGTGTTCAACCTTACTACTATCCACAGAAACGTGCGACATATAGGTGTATTCCTTAGAGATGAACGCGCAAATGCCTCTTCGTCCGTCTTATTAAAGAGCGTGAGATCTGTAACCCGGAAGCATGACCAACTCCGAAAGCGTCTCCTGAAGCAAAATGACGTGTGGCTTTTCAGAGTGAGAACGACTGAACTGCTGAAAACCGCCTTCTTGCGAGTGAACTCCCAGCACTTCCACTGCCATATTCTGAACTCTTTAGGTTGACGCGCCGTGGTTAGGCTCGAAAATTATGTGCCTGCGTTCGAGCGCGTTGACCTTAGCGGCCAACCCACAGAAGTTTGCGTTCAAAGTATTTACCTTACCATCCAGAGCGCTGAAATTATCCGCCAAGGTATCGGCCTTAACATAAACCAATGCGACTGTTGGATAAGTGACTAGAACATTTCTCTGTTCTTCATTTAAAAATATGTAGTTTCTCAACAAGTGCGGGCCTGGTCAAGCCCTCTTTCTGGCTTTGCACGCACAGTACACTGCACTAGATCGGTTTTCGAAGGGCACCTCCGCGGGTTTTTCCATGGGCATTTCCACAACCATTTCCATAGGTGCTTCCCGGAGTTTACAGGGCGTTTCAACAGGCGTTTTGAGACTAGTGTCCTGAGGAGGTTGTAAATCCTCAATCTTGGCCTTATTAGCATCATTAAGTGCGACCATATTGACTCTAAGTTGCGCAATCGCCTCTTTTAGTGCAGCGTTTTCTCTTTCCAGCTGAATTATTCTATCATTGTTCCATCTGGCAGCATGTTCCCTGTTACCTGTTTCTGGGATCCTTACATGGTCAGCCTCTCAGTCACCGTGTCAGCAGGCACCTGAATGCTGATGACCGGCCCCGTGATTGGGAACAATTTGGGACTGGGAACAGCTTGTGGATCGGGGCCCGCTCCTATAACGGGAGCGCCCCCTCACGCTCTTGGACTATGATGTTGTTCGGTTCGGACAGCTCATGTATCAATGGGAAGTCCTTCTCACAGTCTTATCTTTCTCTTCTGCGCTGTCTGACGATGCAAGGTATCTCGAATCTTTGTCTACAGGTTCTGTCGGCTGTTGGATGAGGCCCTCCACAAAAGGCGCACTTCGGCGAGCGAACGTGCTGGTTGCCAGGGGTGGTCATTCCGCAACCCCAGCAGATAACATTTCTGGAGTGGGGCACACGTCGACTCTGTGGCCAAGTCTATCACAGGCGTAGTAGTATTGTCTGCCGTCGGTAGAGGTGCACTGACTATGCTTGGACCACATGACGTAATTCGCACCTCAAAATCTTCGAAGAGGAAACGACTGTAGTAGAATTCTCGATTCGCTGCATTCGAGAATAGTGGGATTCATGGATAAATAAGAAGTCTTCTGAGCTCTTCGACGTCGATCTCCATATTGATGTTTCTGATAATACCCTCGCACGTTTTTCGGGCACAGCAGTGTATGAGCTAACCTTGTACCCCGTGTCATTATGGTGATGGCCTCAAGACTTGCGTAGGCCTTGGCGTTGGCTTGCGATGGCGTCTCACAACAATGTGTATGGCTTTGGTACAAAGGATTTCTACTGTGATATCCGCAGCAGAGAGGCCAACGCTGTTGGTAGGGCTTGAGAAATCCACATGTTCTGGTATTCTCGACGTTCAGGGCCATGGGCCTAACAATGATTGAAAATGCTTCCTTGGTAGATGAGGTAGCCTTGACGCG